TGAATTTTAATTTCTGCCAATTCGTGAAAATCAAAATGAAAATTGATTGGAGTGCTGGGCAACAGAACAAAATACAAAAGTACAACACGATCAAAACAATTACGAATACCAGGTAGGGAAGTGAGAGACTATTCACACTTTCTTTGTGTATGCATAAATTGGGTTGAAGTCTTTAGATAGATAACAGTGGCTTCTTCAAACCGACGTAACCACGGTTTTCTTGTGTATTGATTATTTTGAAAGCTTCCAGACTGATCGCCACTGTGTATAACGTGTCAATTAGGTGTATCGGGCAATTGCGCTCGAAAACACTTTCCTACCTTTCGTTTCAACTATAAGAGGAACTGAAGAGGATATCAAAGCCAGAATCAGAAAAGCAAGACAAGCTTTCAATACTCTCAAGTCTGTGTGGAGGTCAACAGCACTAATCAGCATCAAAAATAAGATCCGGATTTTCAACTCCAGTGTGGAGTCAGTCAGTGCTACTCACTATACGGATGGATCAGAGACTTGGCCAGCGCGTCATAAAGAGCATCTCAAACAAACTACAGACCTTCATTAACAGCTAGTTGTCTTCTCTCAATACTCCGCTCAAGATCAGATAGCCGGCTTGCTAGAAAATATCAGAAACAGGGAGGGATCTCTGTCAATGAGCGAGCCAGCACAACACAGCAGGAACCGATTGTGAAACAAATAGGCAGGAGGATGGATGGAGATGGATTGGCTGGCCATACTCTGAGAAAGGAAACCATCAAGTGAGTGACATCACTGGACAAGCCATTGGTCGAGTGGAACCAGGCCGAAAGGGAAGCGGGTGGCGAGTTGGTCGTCAGTGTGAGTGAGGGTGACTTGGAGTGGAGGAGGTCATGTGAAGGGGAGGAGATGAGAGCATGTGGGCAGACTTGGACTCACGTGAAAACTTTAGGAAAGACCCGAATGCAGTGGAGACGTACAGCTGAAGCCCTATGTTCTTTTAGGAATTAAAGGAAATAATAATAACGATCATCCTGTTTTTTGAAAATGGAATAAGTCTAGCGGCGAGTAATGTTCTTTTAATGAACATTTAATTCTGTTTTCCACTCTTGTATATACTTCTTCTCTTTTCGCTCTGTTGCCTAGCACTCACTCACTGAGCTGATCTAATTACTGAGGTTCTAAATCTACTAGATTAAATTATTTTATCTATTTCATAATTTCACTTCACTATTCCCACCCCGCCCCTATCCACAAGGCCTACTGCTCTAATTTACTATTCCCAAAAACAGTCTGCACAGCACCATATCATTGACACACAGAGTAACAAAGAAGCAGAAGACAGACTGTTGAGTGGACTCTGAGTGTTGTATCTATCTGGCACCAACAGTTTCAAGTGGTACACAGAGTTTCAAGCTCTAGCTTTGAACGTTGAGTAGAGATTGTACACTATTTTTCGCTTTCTCCTTTTCAACAATGGCGAGGTTGTCAACCTCACGTCCAGCCTTGTTTCACTAATGAACTTACTACCACCAGTTAAATGATGCTGCTTAGGAGTGAGTGCTCGTTGGCTGAGAATCGAAACCGGTATCATGTACATGGTTGTCGAAATTCACAAAATAAAAACCTAATAACCAGAAGTTCTTTTGTTAGCTGAATAGAAAGACAGGAGTGAGAAAAGCTTTAGACGGGCATGAAAGGCTAAATAAATTATTCAAAATAACCGACTTCTCCAAAGAGGCATATATATTTTGAAGCATTTTTGTCTGCAGGCTATCTCCCTCCACTTGTGAGCTGATAAGTGTCACTTTACAAAAAATGACCACTTTTTCTACTAGTCTATTAATTATGCTTTGATGATTTTTGTGAAATTTCTCGGTAATCTAAGGGTGTTAATTTTTTTCCACAAAATATTCAATCTGCAGTAACTTTCAATGGGATCTGTGAAAGTATGTTGTAAGTGACACTTTGAACCCAACGAATACACAGTCAGCTTAGAGTCATTCATAATAATAATAATGATTTACTTTATTGCAAAAAACAGTACTTGTGATACAGAATGGAATTTTCAGCATTATTCACACACAATATTGCATCTAATTTCCTCAAATTATAAATAAAATTAATCACACAGAAAACATTTTCCACATTTATAATAGAGGTAGTGTCAAAAACATGCAGCATATAAAATGGAAATAGCAATAATAATGATAACAGGTAGGGTAATAATAATAATAATAATACAAGTGATGGGAATTAACGTGGGCTTGTTTCTCACAGTATTGGCAATGTGGCATAGAAATCCTAACATGTTTAAAAATATTGAATATAATGTTCTCTTTACATGATGATGATAGTGAGGGGAAAAACAAAGAATACAGCAGTCATAGAGATAAGTTGGTGTTTGCAATTATGAGAGTAAAAAACAGAGAAGTAACGGGACCAAAAATATAATAGAAATAATAAAAGTCAAACTTGAAGGTATATAAGGATGGATGGATGGATGGAGGAAATTGTTTATTTACTAGATGAAAAAAGGTTAGTTAATTGTTGTCTGACACTATTTTCATCACACAAAATACGTGCCAAGTATGGTATCATAGAATTTTCATACTTAGACGTGCGAACATACAGTTTTCTAAAGTTACTTCTTGTTCTACCTGAGGAGATGCAAGATGAAAGCTGAGGGTGCTGTGGTGGATACTCTAAGTCAGACAAAATCCCTTTAGCAAATTTATTGCACGAAGTCAAATGCCTGTCGACAATGACGTTAACTATGTGGTCCACTGGGACACCACTCACCCTACTGACAGTCTTCAGTATTCTACGAATTGTGACATAGTCCTTTTTAAGCAAACCAGGAAAGAATAAGGGTGAACAATAAAGAAGAATAGGTAGGATGGAAGAGTTTATGAACTGTAAGAGGAGGAGGGGTTGAGTTATACCCGAGTGTTTTAACTTCTTAATGTAAAATGTCAGGCATTCATACTTTAGAATACTTTCTTCTTTCAAGCTTAGCGAATTTCCGATTTATTTTCAAGTTGATTCTAATTTTTTTTCCGTGGATTATTTGGACGTCTGTTGACAAGGTGGCTTGTCGTGGGGATTCTTTAGCTTTGCCTGGCTGACTGGTTTTAACTTTGAAATTTGCGCAGATGTACAGCAGTTCTAGTGTTACCATGCCTTCCCTCTTCCTGTAGCACCCAAAGCAAGACAAGAGAATAAACACAGGTTCAAAAACAAAAAAAACATAATAAACATAAGTGTGGGTGAGACGAAAAGAATATTAATATGGAAGGACTATAAAGTTTTATTGGATATGCTAAATCGCAAACAGTGAATGCATATACACGAACTATCAGTGACAACGATTTTTAGTCATATCGCCAATTGTCTTCACCCTCCATTGTATTTTTCTATCTGGAAAACCCGACCAGGGAGGATTTCTACAACTCCCTACGTGGCTGGCTGGCTGGCTGGTTGGCTTTAAGTAGCCATCGTGGGTCTTATGGATTGATGAAGCCATGTCTTGGTTTGACAGTTTCCAATTCTAGTCAGCTTTGAAGCAAGAGGTGATCTACTATAGTAGAACTGCTGTTTTTTCAACATCACCTTTATTTACCCACAATGACAGGTGTTCCCAGGCACGAAAAAAATAGAGTTCGTGGAGCAACGGCCCACACAAGAGTAGTTGATCTGATATGTACAATGAGAGGTGGCTAACTATCCAAACTATTTCATCCATCCTTAAGTTTCCCAATCACAGCCAGTCGTGTGGAGAGTATAAGCTACAGATTACCAGAATTAAACGATTTTTTAATTTTTAATTTTTTTAAATTTATTGGTTACTGGTATTTCGCTCGGTATGTCACCTTTGAAATGTAGTTGTACACATGTAGAGGCTTCTCGTTAAGAGACACGGAAGAATTCTTTTCTAGACAGAAAACCAGTAGTTCAAAAAAGAGTCTCTTTTCAAAGGTGAATTCATTTTCATAGCTGTACAATCGCAAATATATATGGTCGTTTTGTATGCATGTGTGAACATTAAATTTGTCAAACTAAATACAGTTAGTAAGTAAGGGTCGAAGAACGCTATCCAACTTGGCTTCAGAAACGAAGTAGTGGCCTAATAAGGAGTACAATAATTGAACATCTCGTTATCACAGGTCATTTCATCTCAATAATCGCCTCCTTCAAAGTGATGTACAAAGTGAAGAACAACCTGCCAAAGACAATACGTTTCAGTCTTCTTTGCATTGCAGAAGCCTTAGCCATTCAGTTGGAAGAAACATAACTATGCATAGAAGAGAAAATTATTCAGTCACTTCTACTCTCATGGTAACAACTCTGTTAATTTGACTCAACTTTTGTTTGTATGCTTATATTTTTAAACTGCTTAAAATTCTTCCGTAATTCCGTAGGTTATTTTGTTTCCATGTACACCCTGAACACAGCTCTTTCATCAAACTATATATGTTATTACGTAACTCATCTTTAACAATCATTTGTGACAACTCATCAATTCTGTCACTACTCACTTATATTAACATCCAATTCATTTGAACACCTTTAGTATTACGTAACTCCGTCGAAAACTTACAAATTGTATTTCAATTTGACAAATTTAATGTGCACACATGCATACAAAACAACCATATATATATATATATTCGCGATTGTACAGCTGTGAAAATGAATTCACCACCGAAAATATACTCTTGTCTGAACTACTGGTATTCTGTCTATCAATGTTCGAATGGGTATTTTTCATGAATTCCTTTCTACTCTCTTGGTCATTTGTTTAGTGATGAAGTTATTAATGGTTGCTGTTTTCAACCTGTGACTGCCTAGTGTGTGTATTATTTCTCCCAGTCATTCTGACTTATATATTGGGCAAATAATCAGATGTTCATATCACGAGTTCAGCTTACATCAAACCTGACTAAACTGTTAATCAGTAGAGTATTGTACATATTCAGTTGGTCAAATTATTTATTGTTCTCTATTTTTATTTTCATTATTTCTAGGTATACAATGAAATTAATCAACGTGGATCATTTGACATGAATTATTTATGCTTTCTGTTGTGTGCAGCTATTGTAGCAAATATAGCTCTGGTAACAAATTCTGCTGGGGTTGTATTCGCTAGTATGCTGTTATCACCTCTAATGGTAAGTAGGTGAAATAATTATATACTTTGTTGATTATTGAAGGACTTTTCAAATATGGTCTGAGTGTCCTGAATTCACCAGAAGTTCTGTAACCAAAATTTATGCAATACACGCGTTCTCCCTTTGATAACCATTCTGGATAGTAATTCCTGAGGGCGTTTCACAAGCGGACAGGTGCTACGAACAATTTGCTCGGCTTCATACGAGCAAATTAACTGGTATATACATGTTGAAGTAGACCAGTGAGATAGCTTGTCTTTTACATGTTGGATGAATGGTTTTTTGCACGAGAATTTTAATCGTAAAAGAAACCTAAATAAGTCTATCTTTCTCTTCAGAGGCAAAAAAACTTTCAAAGCTGGAAAACTGTCCGTCCCATTTGGATTTTTTGTATATGGATCATCTTAGCACGTTTTCAGCCTTTCTTTGCGGTTGAATACCTAGGAAATGAAACATTGAGTCAGACTCAACTTCCAGAGTGAAGTTGGTGCTTGCACGGAACCTTGATAGAAAATGATTTCCCTTCAATCAGATTCATAGACAAGAATCCAAGACCTCAGAAAATGCATGAAAGGGTTCAAATCGCCCTCGACAAGAAGCTGCTGATACTTAGCCTCGAATTTAAGAGTGACACCGAAGCAGAGCTGCGTAAACGGCTTTCCAGGTCTCTCAGTAAAACATATTTCACTAACAGTCTGCAAAAAATGATTCAACCAGTACGTGAGAGACAAGCTGTCACATTGGGCCACTTCAGCATGCATATACCAGTTTACGTACTCATGTGGAACCAGATACATTTACCATAGCACTCGTTCGCTTGTAAACGCTTTCAGGAATACTATCCAGAATGGTTAGCAAAGGGAGAACGCGAGTGTACATCAAGGTCGGTAACAGAACATCTGATGAACTAAATGACTGACATTTTAACATTAAGAACACAATATTTACCGAAAAGACCTTTATCAACAACGAATTTATTAATAAGCTTTATATTATGCAGGTTTTAGGAAATTATATCCTGTTAGGAAATTTACGCAAATGTGTGATGAAATAATATGAAATGCAATTATAATCTTTGTAATTATGATCATAGTTAAATACCATGTCTCAAGTGATAAAACAAATAATGTCAGGTTTTCCAGCGGTTCTCTAAATAAGATATCAACCCGTCAGCAGATATGTAAATAGTCAGATCCTCAATAACTAACCCTTGATAATTAATTCGATATTCACTAGTGACTGGTCCAATACAAGACGTTGCCTGGAGGTCCAATGAAAAAAGGGTAAGAGTGCACTGACTTGCGTACTGCACTGATTGGCAGGTGAGCTATATATATATATATATATATATATACATTTATCGGGAATTGGCGGAAGTTGGGATTCATGGAGTGGCCATTGGATCAGATCCCAGTAGACATTATAAGCGAAAGAGTACTGGATGCGAATGTCTTGTTCATAATCCAATTTACTGGTCCTGTTGTCTAAACTTCCCAGTATGAATTAGGTAAGATTATGATTGTCTATTTCTAAGTAGAAGAGGTTGAATAGTTCAATAAAAACGTCTCAGACTGTGACAGTGAATTTATTGGGTCACTTAATTGGTTCCCAATCGCTGAATGGTACACCAGCTTGCGTTAAAATCAGAAAGTCATGGATTCGAAACCCGGTGGGTACTTAATGCCGATCGATGAGTTCCAAACAAGGATGGCAGAAATAGCTGTTTGGCAGTACTTCCAGCTTGTTTTCAATGGTTCTCTAACTGATATCAATCTGTGATTTAACCTATGATAAAGAAACAAAATGGAAAATAAATAAATCGATGTTTATGCTGCTACAACCAGGGTAGAAATAAGGACTGTACATACCTATTTTTGTACACAAAGGTGTGGTTTAAATTCATGAATGAATAACCAAGGCCTCATCTGTCTTTAGATGTTTAGAACGAGGAAAATGTCGCCAACAAGTTAACATAGACTCGATAGATGATCTTAAAATCACGATCAGGGTTGGTATGGAGTGAGACAGAAGTCAATCAAGTGTTCAAGAGTAGAGCTTCTCACACCCTTCCATTCTTCCTTGTAAAACCACCCTGGTGATATATGTTCTGGTATCCGCAAGGCAAGTCGTGTTCTCTGGCTACAGCCAATGTATCTTGCCCTGCAAGAGTAAAAAAAACTGGTAGATGCACCTGGAGGCGGTCAGACGAGGAAGCACATCTTTAACAGAGATGGAAAACAACTTGCGGCTGGTGAACGTTATTTATAATTCTGCAGCAAAAAATATCTTACTGGTTGCTTTAGAGAAACGATTTTTGAGCATTTCTAAAGCCTGATTACCTTTGAATTCCAAATCATTATATGCCTCTTAGATGGAAGGGTAACAGTCAGCATTTTTAAAATTATAGTGAGAAGAACCACCTCAAAAACAATTTAAGACCTAAAAGTTGTCTCTTTGAAGTGATCAGGCTTCCATTTCCTCTACTCCAAATCTTTAGTAATAGGGTTTTCTGCATTATCTTTCACTGGCTTCATCTCCGTAGATCTCTTTCCTGGTAGCGAGTGAAATGATTATGCGGTATATTGTTCTTATCTCTGTCTGTCTGTCCCTTAACTGTAATCTGTTCGGCAAAGCTAAAGAATAGGGATCCATGGAATGCCAACGCACTACTGACCTTCAGGCGACTGATCTGGAAAAACCAACAGTTATTTACACAGTGATAAAATACACATTAAACAGGAGATCAACTTGAAAGGCTTCAAATAAGAAGCTTTAGATAGACCAGAATTTAGTCACAACGCATACAGATAGAGTGAGTGAAGTGCAAATCCACAAAGGACATATTCACTCTAGTCATCAGGCATTAGTCGAAGAGGAGACCTTCGTGAAAAGACACTGGAAGTCTGTGAAGGCAGTGGAGGAGAAAAAATAGGCATGCATAAATGAGACAAGAAGAAGATTGGTGAAAAGATATGGCTGACTACAGGCACAGGGAGACTTGTTGATACATGTGAAGTTCTAGGGAGTATTTCAACTGTGCGACAGTAAATACTTCAACTGCCTGCATATGCCCCTCTCTCACTAATACGTGGTATCACTAACTTAACCCTTGGGTTCCAAGTGGAACATAGTAATTCAACAACATATCCCCACTTCCTTCTATTTTCTCCCGTCCTCTACACCTGACTACCTCCATGACTCCTTATAATTCCTCATCTCCTCCTCCACCCCAAAACTATCTCCTCCATGTCACCCAACCGTCGACCATCCACTCGAGCGATGGCCTGCATTTTGAGCGATATCATTCAATGGCCTTCTCAGCATATACCCGATCAATCTCCATTTTCGCCGACATGTGCGCTGGTGGCACAGTGATAAGGATTCTTGCCGACCATTCACATGGTCCAAGGTTCGACCCCATGCCGACGTACACTTCATATCTATGGTCGGCCTGCAAAATTTGGGCTACCGATATCACATGCTGAAAATTCCATACTTGTACCGAAAATACGGTGTGGAATCAAGCTGTAAATCAAAAATATAAAAAAAATATTTATTGAGCAATCGGCTCTTGGTTGGTTCCTTCATCGCCAGAGTTTCGTGTTTCTAATTCTTTCTGGCAGGCTGAACGACTGGCCATTTGATCTTCACTATGGAGCCAGCTAGCCAAGGTGCCAGTTGTTGATAAGAGTCTTCACTAACTTGTTGGAAATGTTTTGCGTGATACGGACTGGAAGTCGCTTACCCAAAAAGAAGAAATGACTGACTGACTTCACATTTATGTTGAAAATCCAAAGGCTGCTGTTTATGCTGAGACAGAGTGCAGAACACTTGCAAACTAATTTCCGGTTGATGGAGGACTATCTCACCTTTAGGATCCTCGCTGGCTATCTGTCTGATTTTAAATTCTTCATCCGTCCAGAGTGTCTGTAGTTGTAATCGTGTTTCCTAGATAAATGAAGGAAGAAACGTCCGTCAAATCTCTCCCGTTGATGTTGATTGGTGCTGGTTGTTGTTGCTGTTGTTGGATGGCCGATTATCTTCATCACCTCCGTCTACACCTTATCTATGTTCCCTCCCCCCCCTCGCGGAGTCATGTCTTCGCCACCTGTTTCTTCTACCAACTTGTGGATTGTCGTTTGTATGACTTCCATGTTGTTTGGTATTCAAAGGCATAAATCATTTATGGGTGAAATCCAGATATTCTAGAATCTTCTGATCGGTCAGTGTTGTGTGTATTCCAGTCTTCTCACTCAAATCCATCATACAGTCTGACGCATAATCCAGTCCATTACAATTAGGAATATCCAACTTTGATGATATTAAGCAAGCAGATAGCTTCTCTGACCCCTGTATTCACTTCAAAGGCAGGCAGCTGCGAGCCACCTGACTGATACGTTGCAGTGTCATATAGCCAGCTGTCGAATGAGGTCGATAAAGACTTGGGCACTGCATGCTGTAGTGTCCAAGTAGTTTCTCACTTGCTCTCTAAAGCCTGTTCGAAGTTGACGAAGGATGTTGAGGGAGAGAGAGAGCTCTGACCATTCTATGCTTCGTTCTGTAACGATGATATGTAGAGTTGCAATTTGACTAGCACATGATTTACCTTTCCTGAATTTGGCCAGATTGTTCCGGTGAGGTTGGCGGTGTTCAGCATCCAGTGCAAAGTGAGGCGTTCTTCACCCTTGTTTGTTAGCTTGACAAGGTAGCTTTGTAGCTTTGTATAACTGTAAGTTTTCTTACTTCCGACTTAAATCTATCTTATGCACATAGGGAAGATGGGTTGCCACTGCCTTAGTCTTTGATATTGTTGAGGATATGAAGATAACCACACTCTTAGGGTGCTCATGATCGCCGTCTGTATGACCAAAGTGTTCGATTACTGATCATCCACTTTGCTTCTACTTTGTCTGATAGATTTTATCACTTCTATAAATACATCTTTACATTTCTTCTGAAAACTTAAGCTATCGTAACAGCTGCCAACACGATATGGATGT